TATATTGTTATTAATCATTTAAAAAAACTATTTTATTGTTCATTTCATTGTAAATTTCTATTTATATATTTATCTAAAGATTAATTAATTAAAAAAAAAAATATTGTAGCTCTGTCATGCTAGAAGGAAAAAAAATATTAAATAATTAAATTTGAGTTGAAAAATAAAAACAAAAAAACCGTTGTAAATTAATACATATAAAATTTATTTATAAAGAAAATTGATCGAAAAAGAAAACGAAAATTAATTATAGAAAATGGAAAAAAAAATTTTTTTAAATAAAAAATAAATATTCTTAAAAAGCAAAACAAATAGAAATGGTAGAGATATGACTATACAAAAAAACAGGAAAATAATATAATTATCGATTATATGACAGAAACAGTAAATGAAAACAAGTAGGTTTTTGAAAAGCGTGTATAATTATTATATTTTTAATTCGTAATTATAGAAAGAGAGAAGAATAAAAATAATTCATGTGAAAGTAAAATAAATTGAAAAAGCTCGAAAGGCGCAATGAAAATATATTAGATATTTAAAAAAAAGAGAAGCAAAAAATTATGTGTAAATAAAAAAAATTTTTAATATTAAAAATATTAACAATTAACAATAATAATAATAATAAAAGTAATAATAATAATAATGAATAAAAAATAATATTTAAAAAAACATTAATAATAAAAAAATAATAATAAATAGATATTTAGTATAGAAATAAAAACAATGAAAATGTTTTTATTTTTTAAAAATATTGTACTAAAAACTAAAAAAAATAGTTATAAAATAGTTTTTAAAAATATAGAGCAAGTGTATATATAAAACTCGTTAAAATTCTTTGCAGGATATATAAGGAAAGATGTAGGAGAAGTTAATAAAGACAAAGAAGTTAGTTGAGGTGTCTTTAAAAGTTACTGAAAGACCAATAAAGTTCGAAAGAATATAAAAAAAAGAGTCACTTTATAATATTGATGACAAAAGTAAGATTCGAAAATTCCCGCAAATTATATTTAAAGGTGAATACACATGGAGGCCATAAAGTATCAAATTTTGTAACTAGATATCATGAGAGTATGAAAGAGATAATGATATACGTTTGTCCTTCTCTCGCACTCACAGTCTACTTACAAAATTTAACGCTTTACGGTTTCATGTGATTACACTCTAAATATTAAATAAAAAAAATACATTTTTATAACTTTCTGAATATTTATTATTTTTTATTAATCTAAAAAAGTTTGTCTATCACAAGAAAAATTTTTTTTTAATTTTTTTGTTTCTGAAATATATAGACATAATAAAACATAACCTCTAAATACAACCGAAACTGATATTTTGCTATTTCATATTAAATAAAATTTATTAAATTAAAAAGTAAAATACTTATATTTTGCTATTTTATTCTAAATTAATTAAAATTAATTTAATTAAAAAATAAAAACTTATATTTTGCTATTTTATATTAAATTAAAAAAAAATTAAATAAAAGTTTAGTTTCTTTATGAAATGATAATTTCGCAAGCATTTACTTTTATGCTATTAACCTAATGTTTATTTACATTGACAAAACTTTTTTTTTCATAGAATGTGTATAAAAAGTTAAGAGCTGACTTTTTTTCATACATTAAATTTTAAAGGTAAATGTAATTTTTTAATAAGTTTTTTTTTGGCGCCTCTATGTATAAGTATAGAGAAAAAATGTTACATAGCGCATGGCGCTAAACTGACCCACCCTTTTTTCTCTTATTTATACATGCGACCGATCGACCGAGTTAGTAAAAATAAATAACTTTTAATGTATACTGTATAATTGTTGTTAAGTTTTTGTAAAGTACACACAAAATAAGATAACTTTAAAAAAAGTTTTATTTTGTGATAATTAAGAACGTGATTTCAGCATATGTAAATTATATTCTCCATAGGTTATTTTTTTATAAAAAATATATCAAAAAAAAATGATTTCTTTAAAACAAAAAAATCGTTTCTTTAAAATCACTTTTTTGAATCAAACATGAAATTTGTTTGAATTAAAGAAAGTTATCTTTGCTTTTACAAAAAGAAGTTTTTAGAAGTGTTTTTAAATTAAAAAAATATTTTCTTTAAGTGTTTTTAACCTAAAATAAAATTTCTTTGAATCAAAGAAATATTTCTTTGAGTCAATAAAAAAAAGTAAAGAAATAATTTTTTTTAAATCAAAGAAATTTTTCCATTGAACCCTCATAACATATAAGTAAAAAATAAATAGGAACGCTTTTTGACAATTTTTATTTATTATTATATTATCACCAACTTCAGTGACTATAAAATTATTTTTCACTTGTCAGGATGTATAATAAAATAAAATAAAAAATATTTTATAACAAAAATTTTTACTGTGTACTTTTCACCATGTTTTTAATTAATTCAGCATCGCGTCAGAGTGGGCTATAATAAAAAAAGTTTGAGTTTCCACTCTTTCTAATTATTCTCTCTATGACACAATATTTTTAAAACGTTTTTAAATTTGGTATCAATCGATTCTATTTTAAATTTTATGTCGATATATTATACACAATGTACTGTGAAAAGAAAATAATTTTGAATTAGTTAAAAATAACTCATTGTTAATAAAATTTGAAATTACTTTTTTGTTTTATGATTAGTAAAAAAAAATAACGAATTATTATTAACAAAAATATAATTATTAGTTTATAATATATTTATTAATGAAAAAATGACGGAAAAATAAGTCAAATGACTAAAACATTTAATTATATATAGAAATGCAGAGAAAACTAAAAATTTCCATCATAACCTAAAAATGAAGTTAACTTCTAACCTTGTTATTTTTAACTAATTCAAATTTAGGGAGTATAAAAGAATAATAGTAATAATAATAAATAATAATAATAATTATAATAAACATTAATAATTAATAAAAAAAATAATAAATTAATGAATAGTAAATGAATAGTAAATAAATAGTAAATAAATAATAATAATAAATTATTATTGTATCATTACTAATTAAACATGCGCATAAATTATTTTGAGGTTAGGGGTCAGATAACAAATGTCTTGTATGGTCTCACTGGCTCCTCTGGTGATTTTTTAAAGAAACTACATCTTTTAAAGATCACAATTCTTGTATATATGTGTGTAGCGTGGGCAGCGAGTCAATTTATATTTATATTTCTTACACCATCAAATAAATAGTATCGATTTATAAAGGTGCTTCTACAATAGATTTTATAAAAAAAAAATTAACCATATTTTTTTCAACATATAAATAATTATAAAAGGTATTCATAATAAACAAATTTCGGTTACTTTCTAGTTATATATACTTCTAAATATTCCCATATATATATATGCTTTTCCCCCAAAAGAAAAAAAAAAGTTGATTCTCCCCCTCCACCTTTTTTTTCATTCCACCATTAGCACAAATTATAAATTATTCCTTATAGGATTCTAGATACATCAAAATGAAGAAAAAAGATTTTTAGAAATTTCACAAAAGTTCGTAACATAATTTTTTTTTGACACAGAATATTGGAAAAGAGGTTATGTCAAATTAAAATAGTAATTTTATGAAAAATTTATTTATGTTTTAATTTTCACAGGAAAAAAAATAGTTTATTTTATCATTGTAGAATTGGCCTAATTAATAGTTTTTTTTTTGCGATATTAATATCGAATATGAGAAAATGGTGTGCGTGAATACTGGATTGGTTGATTCTAATGGAAAATTTAAATTGTCCATTAGAATCAACTAATGAAATTTCGATATTTATCGCAAAATCGCCAGCTATATGTATTAATTATGTCTTAAAAGACAAGAAAAAAAAGAAAAAGAAGATGAAAAATTAATGAGATAAATTATGTATAATTCTTTTTTAGAAAGGAAAAAAAAATAATAATAATATTAAATAAAGAAAAATAATAATTTTTTGTAATTTACAATAGTTATAAATTCTTTTTTTTCTTCGAATTATTTATAATATTTTATTTTATCTGTAGTTACAATTTTGTAAAAAAGAAAACAATCATAATATTTTCTTTGCTTTATTTAAATAAAAAAAAATTTTTTTTTAAACTTTAATTTTACATATTTCTCAATAAAAAAAAAAAATTTTATGATTATTTATTTATTTACAAGATTGTCGCGACAAGCCCTTTCTTACAATTTATTCTATAATATAATATATATTATTATTTCTATATTTTGACCGTTTTGACCTAGAGGGCAGAAATTTGGCACATTTTTATTTTTGCATATTATATTACATAATAATAATCCTTATTATTATTATTTTTTTTTTGCGCAAAGAGTAAAGTGGATTTATTATTATTATAATACTACTACTACAACTACTACTATTATTATTATTATTGTATAAAAATACTGGACAATAAAAATTTTTTTAAAAATAAAAAAAAATTGTTAATGAAGACTTGCAAGACATTTACTGAAAAAAATTGAACCCCCTCCCATCCCCTATATTTAGCATCGAAGTTAGATTAACGATAAACCCTTCTGGGTTAATTAATCAGCTAACTAAGACAAGGAATAAACTGTCTTTAAAGATTATGCCTACATATACATACCTATATGTATACATATAGATATATATTTTAACCGTAAACTCGAAATTGCAAGATATCGATCGCAATCGTAAGGAATGAAAGAAAATAGGATACAAATTGAATCACCTACTTTTCCTCCTACACACACACACACATAATATACATATATATATATATCGTTAATATTGTCAATTTCCAATTTCTGCATAGATTTTTTTTTCAAAAAAAAAAAGGGGCGGGGAAATTGGGACTCAAGGTCACTGGTAAATAAAAAAAAAAAAACCACCCCCCATTTTCCAGGGCAAAAAAAAAACATTAAAAAATATATATTTTCAAAAAAAAAATCGGTTTAAAATTTTTTATTAATCAGAAATTGATAATTGACCTTTTTTCAATGAAGAAAGAGGGTAAATTGTAAGGCTCTCTAAAGTACTCACGATTTATATGTCGTCGTCGAATTGTCCAATGGAAAACTTGGAACAAAAAATACCCAATTTTTTTTTTCTTTTTTTTTTTTTAGACAAAACGAATTACACGCACTTTGGAATAATTTTTATTGAAAAAAATTGTCCTATTTTGTTTATTTATCATTAAATGAACATTTTTGTTGAACGTTTAGAAAAAGAAAGGCTCGCGCGATGAACAACTTTGGGGAAAATCTATCCGTGGCACGTCCTCTCTCTCTCTCTCTCAACTTGAGGATGGACAAGAGTGCGCCTGATCAAGAGTTGAAACTAACATGGCCGCGCAACGTCGACGAATCGATAAAACACGTTACGTTTTCACAAACGTCGACGACGTACCACAATCTCAAAAACATATACATAGACGTACACATGCACACACACATTCACCTGGAGACAGAAGCGAGACACGAGCAGGATCGGTTTGAGGATCATCAACTATACATTTAATAATAATAATAATAATAATAATAAAATTATATATATATATATATAGCATCAGTTGAGGTATTTGCTTGAGAGACACAAAACAATTTCCGCCTCTGAGATTTATAATCCTCGAGATGATTTAAAAGGTTAAGTCTAAAAAAAAATTTTAAAAAGAAATTATATATATGGGCCATTCTTTATCAAAAAAAAGATTTGATAGATTTAATAGAACAGATTTAATTAAAAAATCCATAATTAATTATGGGCTTAAATTACTGCAAATGTTGTCTATTTTTTTGATGCCGTATGGTACTTTTTAAATATTAAACATGGGACCTCAAATGTTAAAAAAAACCTTCAATATAATCGAAAAAAGTAATATTTTTTTTAAATATAAGGTTAAAACTTATTTTTTAAAAATAAAACTCAATTACCGGCACAGAAATCTACATTACCGACTGATGGTAAAAGTAGGAAAAATGATAATATAAAAATACCGACATAGAAATCTACATTACCCTCTGATGGTAAAACAGAAAAATGAAAATGTAAAAAATGACCGACATAGAAATCTATATTACCGACTAACGGTAAAACAATAAAATGAAAAACTGACAAATTATCGACATATTTTCATTTTTCTGGTTTGTCATCGGTCGGTAATGTAGATTTCTATGTCGGTAATTTTTATATTTCATTTTCCTGTTTTACCATGAGTCAATAATGTAAATTTTTGTGCCGGTAATCGATTTTTATTTTAACAAAATTTTTTTTGTATATTATCTAAATTTTATATAAAATTATTAAACATCGTGATATAGACTATTTTTATATTTATATAATTTTTATATTTCATTTTCCTGTTTTACCATGAGTCAATAATGTAGATTTCTGTGCCGGTAATCGATTTTTATTTTAACAAAAATTTTTTTTTTGGTATATTATCTAAATTTTATATAAAATTATTAATCATCGTGGTATAGACTATTTTCAAAATTTGAGTTTTGAATTTTTTGAATACAATTTTAATACACATTAAGAAAAAAGATTTTCTTTGAATCAAAGAAATTTATCCATTATTATAGGGTCAAAGAAATTATTTCTTTGATTTTACCAAAATTGTTTTATGATGATATGAAAAATATATGGTAAAATGGTATGGTAAAACAGAAAAATGAAAATGTAAAAATGCCCGACATAGAAATCTATATTACCGACTAACGGTAAAACAATAAAATGAAAATCTGACAAATTACCGACATATTTTCTGGTTTGCCATCGGTCGGTAACGTAGATTTCTATGTTGGCAATTTTTATATTTCATTTTCCTGTTTTACCATTAGTCTATAATGTAGATTTCTGTACCGGTAATCGATTTTTATTTTAACAAAATTTTTTTTTTGGTATATTATCTAAATTTTATATAAAATTATTAAACATCGTGGTATAGACTATTTTTAAAATATGAGTTTTGAATTTTTTGAATACAATTTTAATACACATTAAGAAAAAAGATTTTCTTTGAATCAAAGAAATTTATCCATTATTATATAGGGTCAAAGAAATTATTTCTTTGATTTTACCAAAATTGTTTATTTGAATCAAAGAATTTTTTTTGAGAAATCTTCCACCACATTGGATACGCCATTATGAATTTTGAATATCTGCGAAACCTAATTCGTAATCAGTGACACATTTTAATTTTTTTTCGCCGTCAAGTTAGAGCCGCCATTTTGGATTTTCAAAAACTAATTCTAATTTTTTATTCAGTAACCTCAAAAACCTTCTGGTAATAAGATTTAGGGGAATTTAATAAATTTTAATTGTTTTGACTGCCATATTAGAGCCGACATTTTGAATTTTGTAAAATTAACTTAAAATTTGCATTCAGCAACCTCAAAAACACCATGTTTATAAGATTTAGACAAATTCAATACATTTAAAAATTAAATGTCAGATTCATAAATATAGCGACCGCCAAAAACTTCTGGTAGGAACTTTAAAGCGAATTGAAATAGTTTTTAAAAAAATTGTTCGACATATTGAAGCCATTATTTAAAATTTTTTAAATCTAATTCAAAAAAACATTTAGGCGAATTTAATGACTTTTAATTTTTTTTTACCGCTATTATTAATTTTGAACAAATTTTTTTGGTCTATTATTAAAATAAAAAATTTTCCCAATTTAAAAGCATAAGATTCACTTGAAATTTGTTCCTCAGAATTTTTTGGGATCGCTGATTACGAATTCGGTGTCAATTTTTCAAAATTCAAAATGGCGAATCCAATTTGGCTGATGAATTTTTTTTTAAATTCAATTAATTCACTCGAAATTGGTTTCTTGGGGGTTTTTGGGGTCGCTGATTACGAATTTGAAGTCATATTTAAAAAATCCAAAATGGTGGCTCCAATGTGGCGGACACAATATCAAAAATCATTTAAATTGACATGAAATTTGTTACTCGAGGGTTTTTTTTGGGATCGCTGATGACACATTCGTAATCATTGACTCCAAAAAACCTCCGAGAAACGAATTTCAAATGAATTTCTTAAATTTGTAATAATTCGTCAACAATATTATTAAATACACTAGAACTATATATAATTAAAATCTATTTAATTTAAAAATTATTAATTTAGATATAATCAAAAAGAATTGTTTAAGAAACTTTTTTTTTGCTTGAAAAATTTATATATTTAAACAAAAAAAAAAATTGAAATTTCCTAAAAAAACATTCTAGTTTTGATATAATGCACAGTGCAAAAAGAGAAATGCGATTTTTTTTAAACTGCAGTCTACAAAAATTATTTTTAATTATATCATATTTTGGGTGAAATTAAAATTTTAAACAAAAAAAACCTGTTAGGGAAAATTTTGAGAGGTTGTGAAAAGTTAATAGGATATGATATATTGTTTGAGATGAATGTATATAAGTGTGGGTATATAAAATGTCTTTATGACTCTTTATCAAAGGTTTTGACACTTTAAGTGACTTTCACGATCTAAGGGATAAATTACACACTTGATTATTTATTATCTTAACAAATTGAGACAAATTTTTCTAAATTCGTAAAAAGTGAAGAAAGTAAAAATTTAAATTTACAAACAAAATATTATATAATTATTATTATTTTACAAAATAAGTTTCGGTCATTTATATATAATACACATAATTTTACGATAACAAAATTTTTATTTTATCCGGAAATTTTCTAATAATCAAGTCAAATTTTTTAAATGTTCAAATAACAAAAAGATTGAATTTCAAAAAAAAATCAAATAACAAAAAAATCAAATTGTTAGAAATTAAAATTATCAAAAAATCGAGTTATTAAAAAATTCAAACTTTTAGAAATTCGTTCTTCCGGTAATTCGAACATTTAAAATTCTATCCTTTGGTAATTCAAACTTTTGAAAATTCGAATTTTTAATTCTTATCTTTTGATAATTCGAACTTTTGAAAATTGGATTTTCTGATAATTCGAACTTTTTATAATCCGAATTTTTTAAAATTCGAACTTTTAGTAATTAGAAAATTTTGAAAATTCGATCAATTATACATTCAAAATTTTAAACCCTATCTTTTGATAATTCGAACTTTTAAAAATTCAATTCTCAAATAATTCCAACTTTCAATAATTCGAATTTCTAAAAATTCGAATATTTTATAATTCGAATTATTAAAAATTCGATCTTTAAGTAATTCGAACTTTTGAAAATTTGTTTTTCTAATAATTCGAACTTTTTATCATTCAAATTTCCAAAAATTTGATTTTTCATTAATTCGAACATTTGAAAATTCGATCAATTAAACATTCGAATTTTTAACCCTTTCTATTTTGATAATTCGACCTTTTGAAAATTCAATTCTCAAATAATTCCAATATTCAATAATTCGAATTTCTAAAAATTCGAACATTTTATAATTCGAATTATTAAAAATTCGATCTTTAAGTAATTCGAATTATTAAAAATTTGTTTTTCTGATAATTCGAATTTTTAAAAATTCGAACTTTTAGTTTTTAGAAAATTTTGAAAATTCGAATAATTATACATTCAAAATTTTAAACCCTATCTTTTGATAATTCGAACTTTTGAAAATTCAATTCTCAAATAATTCCAAATTTCAATAATTTGAATTTCTAAAAATTCGAACATTTTATAATTCGAATTATTAAAAATTCGATCTTTAAGTAATTCGAACTTTTGAAAATTTGTTTTTCTAATAATTCGAACTTTTTATAATTCAAATTTCCAAACATTCGATCTTTAAGTAATTCGAACTTTTGAAAATTCAATTCTCAAATAATTCCAACATTCAATAATTCGAATTTCTAAAAATTCGAACATTTTATAATTCGAATTATTAAAAATTCGATCTTTAAGTAATTCGAACTTTTGAAAATTTGTTTTTCTAATAATTCGAACTTTTTATAATTCAAATTTCCAAACATTCGATCTTTAAGTAATTCGAACTTTTGAAAATTTGTTTTTCTAATAATTCGAACTTTTTATAATTCAAATTTCCAAAAATTCGATCTTTCATTAATTCGAACATTTGAAAATTCGATCAATTAAACATTCGAATTTTTAACCCTTTCTATTTTGATAATTCGATTTTTTAATAATACGAATTTATTTTTATAATTTGAACATTTTATTTTTTAGTAATTAGAAAATTAGAAAATTCGATTTGTCAGACATTCGACGTTGTAATCCCATTTTTGAAAATTCGAACTTTTGAAATAACAATTTTTTAATAATTCCAATTTCTTGATAATACGAATTTCTAAAAATTCAACATTTCTGTAATACGAACATTTAGAAAATTCAATTTTTTTTAGTAATTCGATTAAACGACTATTCAACATTATGAAATAAGATCTTTTAAAATTGATGATTGCAACTTAATTGAATTTAAATTTGGCGCCGAAACTACTCTTCAACAACTGGTGGATTATTCGAGAATTAAATTTTTGAAATTGATTCCAAAGTTCACTTTTCCTTCTCACCGTGAACGCGCGGCGCTAGCTGACAAAATCGACAAAATGGCGTGAGTCTAGTTTAGGTTATATAAAAAAAAAAAAAAAAAAAAAAATGCCAACTAACTCAATCATATAAAAATATTAATACATCATACAGTTCTTTTTTTTACGTTTTTGCGTTTATAAATAAACGCATTAAGTTTAATCAGTGATTAATAATGTGTTTTCAATTCAAATGGAAGTGAAACAATACAATGAGTTTGTTCAAAGTATTGTTTTCGACTGTTTTAGTCTTTTATTCACTCCTCAGCATTTGTACAACTCATTTATTAATAAATGTTAAAAATCAGGTAAGTTATATTAAATTTTATTTTTTTTATGTATAAGAAATTAAATTTTGTTTTACACACAATTTTTTGGTTTATTATAATTTTCTTTGTAATCTTTATAGATCTCTGACGTGGATGCTGTGTGCTGTATCTTGTCGTTTTAAATATATATATATTAAACTCAAATAAGACGAGATCTGAATTATTAAATTTTATGGTTTAAAAAATAAAATTTATTTGATTTTACAAAAAAAATTTTCGGAAAATAATTTTTAGATTCTAACCTAAAAAGAATTTAATTAAATTTAAAAAAAAATTAGTCATATGAATATATTTCTCATTTGATTTGATACTCTCTAAATCTGAATTAGTAAAATTTTACTAATTATTAGTAACTTTTACTAACAATTAGTAAAATTTAACTAATTCAGAAGCTATTATTAGTAACTTTTACTAACAATCAGTAAAATTTAACTAATTCAGAAGCAAAAAGTGAGTCACTAATTCAAATTAGTAAAAAATTTTACTAATTCAGATTTAGAGAGTATCAAATCAAATGAGAAATATTTTCATAAGACTAATTTTTTTTTTTAATTTAATTAAATTCTTTTTAGGTTAGAATCTAAAAATTATTTTCCGAAAATATTTTTTGTAAAATCAAATAAATTTTATTTTTTAAACCATAAAATTTAATAATTAGTAACTTTTACTAACAATTAGTAAAATTTAACTAATTCAGAAGCAAAAAGTGAGTCACTAATTCAAATTAGTAAAATTTTACTAATTGTTAGTAAAAGTTACTAATAATTAGTAAAATTTAACTAATTCAGAAGCAAAAAGTGAGTCACTAATTCAAATTAGTAAAATTTTACTAATTGTTAGTAAAAGTTACTAATAATTAGTAAAATTTAACTAATTCAGAAGCAAAAAGTGAGTCACTAATTCAAATTAGTAAAATTTTACTAATTGTTAGTAAAAGTTACTAATAATTAGTAAAATTTTACTAATTCAGAAGCAAAAAGTGAGTCACTAATTCAAATTAGTAAAATTTTACTAATTGTTAGTAAAAGTTACTAATAATTAGTAAAATTTTACTAATTCAGAAGCAAAAAGTGAGTCACTAATTCAAATTAGTAAAATTTTACTAATTGTTAGTAAAAGTTACTAATAATTAGTAAAATTTTACTAATTCAGAAGCAAAAAGTGAGTCACTAATTCAAATTAGTAAACATTTTTACTAATTCAGATTTAGAGAGTAGGGCAGAAATTTTATGTCCCTAAAGTTTTGAACGTTCAAAATAAACAAAATTTTTAGTTACTTTTTGAAATTTTTTTATTTTAGTATACAAATTTTTAATTTACATTTTAAAAAATGAATTATTAATTTGAATTAGTAACAGTTTTGACTAATTTGTAGTAAAAAAAAAAACTACTAATTGCTAGTAGAAAACTACTAATTCATTAGTAAGTCGTCTTTTTTACTATTTCAAATTAGTAAGCCGATTTACTCCATGAATTAGAAGTTTAATTTTTTTACTACAAATTAGTCAAAACTGTTACTAATTCAATTGGTAAACGAATACGCACTCTTTCATTAGTAGAAAACTACTAATTCAAATTTAGATAGTAGAAATACGGAAATAAAATTTTTTCTGCAAATTTTTTTTTAAAGATTAAATTAAAATTTTTTATTTTTTAAAATTCTTCTTAATAAAAAAAAATAAAGTCACTTTAATTTTCGTTTTTTACCATATCTTAGAAAATTGTCAATTTTTAATAAATTTTTCTTTGTAAAAAAATTTTTTACCTTGACAAAGGAAGTAACTAGAAATTTTTTATAAATAATTGCGATTTTTTTATTCTTTAAAACCCCCTTAAATTTTAATGATCGAATGATTTAAAATTTTTTCAATTGCATCACATTTGAATTTTAAAAACACTCAAAGTGGTAAAAAAAAGAAATTCTTAATTTTTCAACTATTTTGGAATTTGTATTTAAAAAAAAAAATAAAATTTTCGAAAATCCATACAAGATTCTAAAAAATTATTTAAAAAAAGCATCTGAAAAAAAAATTGGCGAAGAAAATTCAAAATTTTAAATGTAATTCAATATTTCAGAGGAAACATTAATGAAAGTTCAATTTTCCTTTCCTTTTTTTAAAAAATAAAAATTTTTGAAAATTCTACTTTTGTTTGCGTTTATTATTTAGAACACAGAGAAAAATTATTGAAAAACGAATAAAGTAACTTTTACTAATTTAAAAGTAAAAACTGAACTGTCCGAATTTTCTGCGTATTTCTAAAAATTTTTTCTCCAGAAATAGTAAAATTTACTCCGAACATAGTTAAATTTACTCTTTAAAATAGTAAAAATTATTTCGGAAATTGTAAATTTTACTATTTCTGAATTAAAAATTGCTAAAAATTTCGAACAGATCCGGGTTTTACTTTTAAAGTAATAAAAGTTACTTTATTCGTTTTTTCAATTTTTCTCCTTGTAATAAATATTAAATTGTTTCAAATGTTTTTTGAAAAAAAAAAGAAAATTAATAATTTCCTTTTATTTCAGGGTGGCGATATTTTGTTAGAAACTATTTCGTCCAATGTGACTGATGACACAATAACTTTAGAATTTCAACGATCAGACGGAACTTTAGTGACTCAATTAATAGATTTCCGAAATGTGAGTTTTTATTTTTTCAAATTTCTGTAATTTTCAAAAATTTCTTTTTTTAATTTCGACAATTTTTAAAAGCAAGAAAAAACAAATTATTTAATGCGGATGGAAATTAAATTTTTAATTTAATTTAAGTACACTAAATATAAAAATTTTATAAAATTCATTCAAAATTAAAATTCCAAAGAAATTGAAAATTAAAAAAAACTACTTTTAAAATAAATAAAGAATTATTTAAATTTACAAACGAAAATGAAAAAAAAAATGAAAAACGACAATGCTGAAGTACGCAACGTTTATGATAAACGATTTTTAAAGAAATAATTTTTTAAAATTAAAAAATTCTACAATTTTTTGCCTAAAAAATATTTTTTGTAGTTTTCATTAAACAACAAATTATTAAAAAAAAAAAAATATTTTTTATGCAAAAAAATTATAGAATTTTTCATTTTAAAAAAATTATTTCTTTAAAAATCGTTTATCATAAACGTTGCGTACTTCAGCTTGGTGAAAAATGGATTAATATTATTTAGACTTTTAAACAAAATTTGTAGGAAGTAAAATTTAAATTTTTTAATTAAATTAAATTTAAATTTAAATTTTAATTTTAATTTTAATAATTTAATTTTAATTTTAATTTTAATTTTAATTTTAATTTAAATTTTTCTATTTAAATAATGATTTCAAAATTTTTCGAATTTTTTTGAGTTAAAATAAACCTAAGAATAAATTAAAAAGAGTTTATTATTTTAGAATTCAAAATTTTTATAAAATATTAAAAATTACAATTTTTTAAAATATCCCAATAAAATATTGAAATTGATAATAATTTGACGTCTCCTTCAATAAAATAATTTTTTTTTTAAATCGCAGTACAATGTACAATTTTAACCCGAAAAAATTGGAAATATAAAGTTGATTTGTAAATTTGTGATAATTTTTTTTTAAATTCTTTAAGAAATTGCATTCTTTACTTATCATTTTTTTTAACATTGAACCTTAAACTGTAAAATACCATTATCATGAAATAAAAATTGATTAAAAATTATCTTTCACTTTGTCATATCAACTTAATGTATTTTTTCAGTTTAGAGTTATTTTTATTGAATTGATAATTAAAAATTATTGATAGAAAAATTTTCAAGACCATTGAGACTATAATATTTACTCTTCACTAATATCACAATCTAAATTTCTCTGACTTCATCTGATATTACCTGATATTAAGGGGAGCATGAATATCTCATAAAAATCATTAGCTAGAATTTTCATTTGTATGAATTTCATTTGACAGAATTTTTTTTAGACGAATTTTCATTTTTCGAATTAGCATTTGAATTATCTTCTTTGTAAACGAAATTTTATTCAATTTATTAAAATTCTCATTCAACAGAATTTTAGTTATTCAAATTGTTTAATGTCAGAATTTTTAATTTATCGAATTTCCATTTGTTTGAATTTTTATTTACACGAATTTTTATTTGATAGAAATTCTAAAAAATTTAAATTATAATGCTTTAAAATAAAAAGTTAGAGGACAATAAATTTGTTAAAATAAAAATTATGTTAAATAAAAATTCGGTACCTAAAAATTATGTTGAATAAAATTTCGTTTACAAAGAAGATAACTCAAATGCTAATTCGAAAAATGAAAATTCGTCTAAAAAAAAATTCTTTCAAATGAAAATTCTAACTAATGATTTTTATGAGATATTCATGCGCCTCAATATTAATATTAGTTTTAAATTTGAAATTCCCGCATTAAAAAAAATTTGTTTCCTCTTACGATAATGTAGATTTCCAATTGAGTTACACTTCAACTCTTCATAGTTTAATTCCATTGTGGCTCCGGGATCTTAAAAGCCTTAAAAGGGCACACGCGCCATTCACTTAAACTTGCGCTTGTGCCTTTTCAAGATTCGGAGCCTCATTTTTTGCCTAAAAATAAATGACGCCTAACCACGTCACCATGTTAGAAATTTTTCTGTTTTATTTTATTATAAAATAATTAATCTAAATATGATCAAATAGGTAAGTTTTTTAATTTTATCAAATTTTTAATTTTTAATTTTCAATATTTTTAATAATAATAATAATTAATAAGAAATAATAATTTTTTTAACAAAAAAGTATATTATTTATAATAAATTAATAAATAATAAAAAATAGTAAGAAATAATAAAAATAATAATAATAAAAAATAAGGAAGGTGTCGAATTGTACACGAATTTTTAAGTTTCAAACAAAAAAGTTTAGTAAGAAAAATTTTGTTTAAAATCTCGTTAAAGATTTTTTTTTTTTTTGTTAAAACCGTTATAAATATTAATTAGTTATAAAATTAATTTTTTTTTATTATTAAATTAAAACAGGAAGTTCAGGTGATAAAGGCATTAGTGCTGGGCGAAGAGGAACGAGGACAAAATCAATTTCAAGTTATGTGTTTTGTAAATCATTTTTACAAATCAGATTTTATTTCCTCCGATGCAATATCAAAATTGCGACAAAAAAATCCGGGCACTATTCGCGTTGCCGAGGAAGATAAGGGACATTCTAATTATACAATGAATTTGTTTCTCGATGTTTTACAATCAAAAGTCATTTCAAAACATGTCGGTGTACTTTGCGCTGACGCTCAAGATTCCACGTATACACGCAACGAAGATCTCAAACAATGGATTCAAAGACCAGGTTTGTTATTTTTTTTTTATTTTTTCCAAATTTCTACTTTTTATATCAATCATTTTTTTTATGAATAAAAAATATCTTTTTAGGAATATAAAAAATATAATTTTAATGAAATTCTTCACAAATTCAATTATCTTAAACTATTTTTCAATTCAAATTTTTATAAAATTCAATAAATATTAAAAAATTTTTAAAATCAACAAATAACATTACAAAAATTTCCATTCAAAATAAATAAATTGAATAATAATAAAAATAATAATAATTTATTACATAAATTGAAATTGAATTATTTTCGAAAATATTAAATTAAATCCTTCTAAAATTTAATTATTTTTAAAATTTTCCATCTAAAACTTTTTGAAATTTAATAATATCAACTATAACTTTTCCGAAAATAAATTTTTTTAAATTATTTTTATAATATTCTTCGCAAATTTAATTATCTAAAAGTATTTTTCAAATTAAAAACTTTCAAAGTTTAATTTTTTTTTCTCTCCAATTTCTAATAAATTCTTTTCAGCAACTGAAAATTTTCATTGAAAATTTCAATTAAAAATCTATTGAAGTTTAATTATTTTCAAAAATATTCATTATAAATCTTTGAAAATTCAATTACTTTTAAAAAAATATTATCTAAAAAACTATTTGATAAATTATTTTCAATTGTGTAAAATTTAATTATTTTTTGAAATTTAATATAAAATCTTTTGAAATTCAATTATTTCTGCAAAATTTTTAATAGTAACTTTTTCAAAATTCAATTATTTTTAATAATTTTTAATATTTCTTTTAAAATTAAATTATTTTAAAAAATTTCAAATAAAAACTCTAAAATTTAAATGTTGTCAGAAATTTAAAAAAAAAAAAAACTATATCAGTTTAAATTTGTAGAAAGTTTATTTCAAATTTCAAATTTTCTGTAATTAAATTATATACAAAAAATTTAATTTAAAAATCTATAAAAAATTTCGAAATTTTTTTGACCATTAAAATTAAAAATTATGGCAATATTTTAAATTTGAATAAATTATAATAAATAAACTAATTAAAAATAAACAAAATAAATAATTATAAAATAAATATCTGATTTCAAAAAATTTTTTTTATTTTAATGTATTTTATTAGAAATAATTATTTTTTAGAGGAGAATTTTCAATTTTCGAATTTTTATTTCTATGAATTTTAAATTAACAGAGCATTTTTTAATACGCCGAATTTTCATTTTCGTCCGAATTTTTATTTGTACAAATTTTTAATTAATTAAAATTTTTAAGATGTCGAATTTTTATTTGTACGCATTTTTAATTGATAGATTTTTTAAGACGCCGAATTTTCATTTGTCGGAAATTCAAAATGTCCGAAAAAAAGAATCGACTGAAATATTTCGGTATAATTTTCAAAAATTGACCAATTAGAAATTATCAAGAAAATCGTGAATTGTTAATTTTCAAAAAATTGTGCCGAAATCTTTCGCTCGATACTTTGTTCGACCATTTGTAATTTCCGACAAATGAAAATTCGGCGTCTTAAAAAATCTATTAATTAAAATGAAAATTTTGGCATCTTAAAAATTCGATCAATTAAAAATTTGTACAAATAAAAATTCGTACAAATTAAAATTCGATGAATTGGAATTTCTGTCAATTAAAAATTTGAATCACATAAAATTCGATTGAATGAGAATTCTGTTAAATTAAAATTCGATTATATTAAAATTCTTTCAATTAAAAAGTCATGTAAATTAAATGACTGTAAAATAAAAATCCTACCCAACAAAAATTCAGTAGCTAAAAATTTTATTAAATAAAAATTCGTATAAAAAGAAATTCTATATTAAATTCTAATTTGAAAAATGAAAATTTTCCTAAAAAATAATTTATTTCTAAAAAAAATTCATTAAAATAAAAATTCTAAAACAACTTTGTTTTGTGCCTCAAAGTCAATTCAGAGGCCTAACTTTAAAGAAATATAAGTAAAAATAAAAAAAAAAAGAAAATACATACAATTTTTAAATATAGAATAAATTTTAATTCGCTTATTTTAGGAACGTCCGAAGTTGCCTTGACATCTGCAGTGCGAAGTTTTTCCTCAACACGTTCGGAAACAAATGATATTAAATCATATTTAATATCAAAATGTTCCGACACATCGAATTTATGGGCGCCTTGTACATGCTCCTTGGAACTTTGCATTGGTTGGTATCCCTGTGGACTGAAATTTTGCAAAGGAAAAGGTGAGGGTAAAAAAGCAAGTAGTTTATATCGTTGCGGTATTAAAACATGTAAAAAATGTTTTATTTTCTCCTATTACTCGAAATTAAAACAAAATTGCCTCTGGGATGAATGACACATGCGTGCTTCCTAAATTTTCGAATTTATAACTTTTTTATAATAATTATTGATTATTGTTATTATAATAATAATAATAATATGAGTGTCATAATCGACGAATTTTTTTTCCGATTTAGACAAAAATGAGAAATGAAATTTGAAAAAATGCCTTTTTGAAATAATCCAAAAAATAATTGGATAATCAGAGCTTTTAGAAAAAAAAAATTTCTTAATTTCTTGAAGATTTTTTTTTCATTTAAAAATAATTATTATTATTCTTGCTCTCTAATTTTTCTTTCAAGAATTTTGAGAAAAATCATTTTATAAACAATTTTTTACATCGACTTTAATGGAACTTTGTTCTATTTTTTATATTTCTACTTTTGATTGTATTCAAACATTCCTTATTGCATTTTGTTAAAACATTCCACAATTTGTTTCGATTTCAATATTATTTTCTCAAAGAAAATCCGTTTTTTAAATACAAAAAACAAGCGTGTTTTTGAATTTATAAAATCTCGTCACGCTGTGTTTAATGTTTGTGCCATTTTATCCTAGTTTATAGTAATATTTGACCCCGTTTTTTTCTGCTGTATTTCAAAATTTGGATTTTCTTTATTTTCCTGTTTTTCTTTTGTTTTCTTAAAAACGTGAGAATTTATTGAAAAATCAGTCGACAATATTTCATTAGGATTGAAAATATTATAAAGATGAATGTTTAAATCAGATTTTTTTCAATGATAAGACTGCCGTTATTTCTGTCCAGAAAAGAGCGTAATTATAATTCCAATTTTTGTTTTCATTTAAAAATTTTAGTTTTCTTCTGTAATTTCAATTATAGAGGATAGAATTAACCAAAAAAAAAAAAAATGAAAACGAGTCAATACGTGTTATCTAGTTAAGAGTTTAGAAAAATAGAAATCAGATGTAATTTTTTTTAATACATTTGAAAAAAGTAGTTAATCTCAGAGCGATTCAGGGAAAAAATAATTTGGATACTGTTTTTATTTTTCTTTTTTTTTTATATTTGTCCTGAAAAAAATACTCAAATATCGCTCTGTGTGTTTTTTGAACAAATAATATCAATTATTGATAAAAAGACAAAAGGGAAATTTAATATTAAATATTAAAAGAAACTGTACATAAAAATAATGTATATATAAACCCTAAAGAATCGAATTTTGTAACTGGTGTTTTGTAGTTTGATAAAATTAGATTCATTTTAATTATAATTATTAATACGAATTTGATTTTCTCGACTAATTACGAATATTCTTTATTTAAATGTTTATTATATATATATATATATATCTAGGGTAACTGTGGGTATTACTGTGCTTTTTTTGTATATGCTAACTTTGCAAAGCTCAATTTAACCTCAAAAATAAATCAAATGTTGTTATTCCAATTGTAGATAAAAGTTTAATTATTAAATTTAATTAATCATTAAACTCGAGATTAGTTTGGCACTTTTTTTATTTAAAACATCCATTTAAAAAATAATGGCAAATGCGTGTGTTACTGTTAAAATGTCGGTATTTCTGTGCGGTAATTACTAACAAAACGGCAATTACTGTGCTGGCATTACTGTTAAAATCGAGCTGCATGTCGAGCTGCGCATGTCACAAGAATTTAACCTCATTGGTTGAAATATAGCGGGCTTATTCAAACTAAATTTTGTTTCAAAGTTTATTTGAAACAAATTTATTTTTTATTATGTCAAATTATGTTTATAATTTATAAAGAAAATCTTCTTTCAAAAGCCAAATTATTTAATAAATAAGATGTAGAATTTTGTGGCCAAATGGCTTTATTAACTATTAAACAAGCATCATATTCTACATCTTATTTATTAAATTATGTTTACTACGTCAATAAATTGAATAAATAATTAAAATTTTTTAAATAAATAATTTTCCCATTATTACAACTTTATTGAAAGTAACATATTTTTAATATGTCAATATGCACATATATTTTAGTAATTGGACAACTTATATTACATATATGTGACCGTCCACGACAAAACATAAAACATAAATAAGTAACAAACTTTATTATAATGAATAAATAAAATTTGAGTCTTAAATACTTTTGGTAGATATCACAAAGTATTATATAAATAGATAAAAACGTTAATCGAAGATATCACAAAGTATTATGACACTTATGAGCATATAATTATCCTTAAGTAAAAAAGTTTGATAAATAAAATTTGAGTCTCGAACACTTTTGGCAGATATCACAAAGTATTATGCCATATTAGATATAAATCTTAATCGTAAATATCACAAAGAATTATGACATTAATTAAAAATATATAAGCTTTAATCTTTTAATCACAGATTTTGATTTAAATTTACTTGTCTTTCTTGCAAATCACGAATCTGTTTTTCTATTTCTCGTCTTTCTTTCTCTTTGGCTAATTTTTCGTCTAAAGCTTTTTTTTTCTCTGTTATAGCTGCAAATTTTTCTTGTTGTTTCAAAAGCTTCTGTTTTTCTTTTTCAAAGCTTTCCATTTCTTTTTGCTGTTTTTTTTCCTCTCTTTTCTTTTGAAGTTCTTCTTTTATTAATTTAGATTTCGCCTTTTTTTCTATTCTCGCTTTCTTTCTTGTTTCTACAGCCTCAATTTTAATTCGCTTCTCAGTTTGTTTTGTGTCCACAATTTCTTGCCATTGACTTCCGGTGACGACTGAAGGATGACGCACTTTATTTATCCTTTTCTTATTTTCATTTTTTAATAAATTATCAGATGGCCAAAACAAAAACTTCTGATGCACAGATTCTTCTGATATTACCGGTTTTTGTTCATGAAAATTTGTAATGTCGCAAAGCGGATTAACTTTTAACTTGTTTTTGGTCAAATCAAGTGGTACATCGAGCTCTGGAGAATCCTTTGATAAGACAATATCGTTGGAAATCGATTTATTCTCTGCAGAATCATTTGATGCTAAGAGAATACCGTCGGAAATCGAATCATTGTTTGTAAAATCATTAGATGCTAAGACAGTACCGTTAGAAATCGAATCGCTTGGAATATTTTGATTGACATCTACTTCTAATTCCATTATTACACATCCATTTTCAATGACAGCATTGCTTCTTGACTTTACCTAAAAACAATTATCTAATTGTAACCAGCCGTTTTTTATAACAAAAAATACATTACAATTTTCAATACAAAAAAGCTGGTTTTTTATTAATAATTTTTTTTTACAATTCAATAAATTCAATGTAAATTTAAATATTAAATTCAAAAATATCTTTAAATGATATTAAATTATATGACAAAAGCTAGTAAGAACAATTAATGTTAATAATTCAATATTTTATCAATGTGTTATTTCAATCTAATAAAATATGAATTAAAAATATTGATCAACTTATAAATATTATAAATTGATATATGAAATCGTAATTTTTAAAATCTAAGTAAATATAAAAATGTTTTCAAAACAAGAAATGAATTATTTAATTATATGCTTTTACATTATCTGAATTTATCGTAGATTTAACATTTACTCCATTTAGCATCTTGTGACCCCGAGTGGTGTCAATAATTTCAGTTATATCAGAAACAATGTCCATGGGCAAGTCCAACCTTGAGTCATTCTGAAAATAATTTAATAGTTTAAGAATATGCAATAAGTAACGAAAATAAATATTAACATTTAAATTACTTATTTATTATCCATATACCTTTTGATTATTAAGAGTGTTCGATAAACCACCTGATGGGTACGATAATTTGTACCATATGTTAAAGAGTTCCTCATCTTTTACGTTTCCTCTCCAAGTTGGACTTTCATTTAGTCGAAATGCCTCTATTTGATCTTGCTTTAAAAATTTTTCAAACACTTCCAAGGAGTCTTGAACTGTTGAGGAATTACATTGCGAAACCTGAGAACTGTCTTCTGACAATGAATCTGAGTCTCCAATTCGTTTAAGGACCTTAGTGAAATCAATTGCCTCAACATCGAAAGGACATAATCCACTTTTTTTGAACCCGTTTCGTAAAACGGTTTCTAGATTCATTGAATCTAAAGTTTCTTTTAGCAAAGGGGCAAACTGAGACTTTTGAATTCCGACTGCAAAGGAATTTCGACAAAATGTTTCAACTTTTTTCTTCCAATTGGCCTTCAAGGTACGAAATAGAGAAACATCCAATGGTTGCATTATGTGCGTGGCATTTGGGTGCAAGGCGATTAGCACTATTTGCTTTTCGGAACAGAATTTACTTAAGTATAACGTGATATGCGAAGCGTGACCATCAATAAACATAATTACTGGACGTTGAATATTATTTTTTGTTTACCACGGTTCGTAAACATTTGCGATGTACTCGTAGAAATTTTCAGATAACATCCACCCAGTTTTTGAATAACCAAAAGCATAATCGGCAGGCGCCATTTTAACACAATTATTTGGTAGCGAATTCCCAGTAAATAGAATAAATGTCGGAGCAAGGTTACCAACAGCATTGGCTGTCACTAGAGTCGTAATGTTTTCTTTCTCATTATTGTTTACGACAGTGAACACGTTTTTCTGACCCTTTGGAGCGAGAACCGATGAAGATATTGGATTTAAAGCAAGTCCTGTAAATTAATATGTATTTAAATTGTTTAAATATCAAAATGTAAAAAGTGTTTTTATATTACTCAAAGCAAATTACTAATTATTTAAATCTTTTCCTAGTGATAAATTCAATTTTTTTTATTAAAGTATAAAACAATTTAAAAAAAAGTACTTATAAATTTATTATTATTACCTGTTTCATCACAGTTAAAAATTCTATTTGGCTCTAATGACAAGAGATTATTTTCAACCAAATATTTCGAGATTTCTTCAAACCATTGACGCAAACTATACTCTGAAACTTTTGCTCTATTCAAACAAACTTTTTCCGTAACTCTTGTCGAAATTTCTGGATTACGCTTCAAAAACCCATCATACCAAGCTCTACCTGGTATATTGTCAGTAAATGGATTTTTTTTCTTCGTTTGAACACAAATTCGTCGAACACTGTCCACCAGCTGACTTTTAGATACAGGAAATCCTTTTTCACAACAGTGAATGATCCAATTCACTAACTCTTTTTCTTCATCTGCAGTAAATACAGTCGAAGGACCAGGGTTTTTATCGGCATACAGACCTAATCTTTTTGCCCTAAGTGTTGAGCCGGGAATGTCATATGTCCGAGAAACTTGTGCAACTTTTTTCCCGTGTCGAAGTTCCTCGAGAGCGAGAGCTAAGGTTTCTTTTGAATATGAAATTCTTTTCTTTTTCGTTCGTTTTTCTTTTTTCTTTTCTTCACTATCCATATTTTTCTTTTTACTTAACTAATCTAATTAATTAACTAATTAAGTAATTAATTAATTAACTAATTAATTAATTAATTAAGCTGTCCATGAGAATGGAGGTTAGAGAAACGTCAACAAAAAGATTAGGTTACCTTTGCGGCGAGTTGCGCAGTAAACGTATTTAAAAATGACAGTAATGCCAACAAGCAGTGAAATTATTGCTGGTAATACAGTTATAAGAAATATTAATTATAAATAAATAATATAAAGATAAATTAGTATTTTTTTAAAACATTGAAGCATACTTAATTGAGTAATAACACTGAATTGTGTATATTATTGAAAATATTGAAAATATTAACGCTTTCGAATAAGTGTTCACGGCAGCCATATTTGATAATTTCATGGAATTCAATCATAATCAATTTTAAATATAAATAATTAAATAACCAATTGATGAAATGCACATTTTTATTGACTATTCCATTAAGTAAGATTTACAATAAATTTTGTAATTATTTTGAAAAAAAAATATATTTATAAATTATATATAATAATAATTTTTTTAAAATGACAGTAATACCATCACGCACAGTAATACCCACAGTTACCCTACGTAAAATTATCTGTGTCTGAATATTAAATTTTAGAGTCAAAATTTTTTAAATGGGACAATTAAAATTAACCATTAATATTTCTTTGCATAATTTTCAACAAAGCAGTAAATTAAAAGGATTTGTAAAATTATTTTCCAGACTTATAAGTGCTAATACAGGTTTTTTTTCTTAAAAAAATATTTTTTTCAAAAGTTACGTCTCAAAGTAGAGAAATAACTAAACAAATGAAATTTATTTTGATGAGAAGTAAAATTCGATTAATGGAAGGTAAAAAGAAAAATTTATGTTACTTTGTCAAGTTGCGACGTTTTGATGGTTTACCATCTTCTTCAGGCTAATTTATTTAACAATAACATCTTCTTTTACGCAGTAGTTGAAAGTCTTCTAAATCCTAACGAATATGAATTTGCGCTGAGTTGCAGTACTTGAAAACTAAGAAAATTCGTATATGATGACGATGCGTAACCAAAATCTGAACTGATCTCTCCTGAAAAATGTCCTTTTTATAAAGGATTTTCATAAAAAAAGAAAGAAAAATTTTTCATGTTACAGAGTCTAAAAGTAGTAATTTGATTAGACTAAAAACAAACACGATAATTGAATTATTTAAAAATTCATGATTTAATTTCCCAAAGCTAATGGCTGTATACTGAATGAGTCAGGGCAAAGATATTAACTTAACTAAAAAATTTAATGAATAATAATTAACGAATTCCTCAATCAAAGAAGATTAGTTTTGCTATACTCTTTTTTGGTTCTAATTCTTCATGTTCCAACGTAAATTCTGGTTGATGAAGGTTTAGCTAATTATTTAAAGTTTTCAGAATTTGATTTAGAAATTTCTAAATTGATTTTTGAAGACCTTGTTATTTATTCACTATTATTAATCACGTTGATCTAGCCTGCAACTTCTGTTCAGTATTGCAGTTTGTTAACCAGAAGTTTCTAATGATTAATGATACGATCCGTCTAAATATTTATTTTCTATTATATTAGTGTTTAGAATTCATGGATCAAGTTTATTATTCGAAATTCTCTTATTTTATCATCAATCAGAGATACTTTTTAATAATCCTAATTCGTTTGTATCGATTCGCAGAAACTTTTTTCTGTTCTAGAAAGAGAATTTGATAGTTTTAATGCAGAATTTGGAATTTAATATATAAATTTGGTAATGTGCTGAATCCACCTTAATTATTTAATTTTCCATTGCATATGGGATAAGCTTCATGATAGGTGGTTTGACTGGAGAAAACTTTGATTTGGACGCTTTCTTTGAAATCTCCCTCTACGAAATGTTTTGGGTTTTTCTTCTTCACTAAAATAGTATACTTCATATAATTCGTATAAGATTTTAGCTGCAGAATGTTCTGATTCCCTAATTGTTCTGCTCTCATTCTCCTATTGCCGCAAAAACATTGTAATCGGGAATGGGTGTCCTTATACTCAACTGGTACTTTTATATGCCAATGTGCGAAAAAGGCTGCATCTTCTGCAGTGTTACGTCCGTCAACGCAACATAGTAAATTTTAATTTATTTTTGAGTCTAGACTCATTGTCCACAACTCATTCATTGGTTTGAATCATTCAAATTGGTTTGTTTTATTTAAAGGTGAATTTAAAAGGATTGAAAAGATAATAATGCACTAAATACACTGTAATCTTTTCGGAAGGTATTTAATAAAAAAAATAATGATCAAATCTTTTTAAGGATTGAAGGAACTAAAATGCGTAACTTAATTGCACTACGTCCTTCGGAATTAGAAGTATGACAAAAAAATAGATGAGAGGAGAAAAGTTATTTAATATACCATAAAAGTACTTACTTTTTTCTTTTTATTTATAATAGCTGAATATTGTTGAAAACTCGTTTAAATTTGGATCTTAGATGTTTGGCTTCGTATTTATTGAAGACGATGAATTAGAATGATCAAAAATTTGACTCGTCACTTAAGAAATTTAACAATATAAAATTCAACTTGAAAATTAAAACAAAGAGTTAAAATTTAGAGACTTGGAAGAAAATCCATACTTAATTTTTTTAGTTGGGTGGAAATTTGGGGATGAATATTTTTTAGAGTGGGAAGTTAAAAAGATGAATGATTGGATTTTTTTATGAAACAAAATAGAAGAACTTATCTAAAAGAAAGATGTCATTGGGCCTTTCAGGCCCAGCCTTTGCTAGGGATGACTTTGCGTGGGCGTATCTTTAAGATTATGGTGTCTTGAACAAGTGGGGAACTATAGTTTACACTATTTTTAAAAGATGGAGCCAAGATTCACTTTTTAAACGAATTTTCAAAATTACAAAGATTCTTAAAATTATTTATAAAATACATCATTTTATGATTATTTAATTACATAATATTGAAAATTTACGCATTTAATTACACACACATACTTTTTTATAAAAGAAAGTTAAGTAAAATTAATTATATATAATTAAATGACAATAGTTAAAAACTTTTTATTACATATAAAATTTCTATTACTCATAGTCTAAATGATCAATTATTTTCATAATAATGTTTAAAACTTCAATATTAATCTAAATTGTTAATTAAAATTTAATTAATTTCATTTTTTTTAGGAATTTTATTATATAATTATAAATAATAAATTAATTTGAAATTCCAAACATTAATAGTAAAACTTAACTAATAATTAAAGAAATATTTTGAAGAATTATTTAAAATTATTTAGGATTCACTAATTCAACGTATGAAATGCTATTTTTAAAAAATAGAAATAAAACGGACTTTGTAACCTAATATTTTTTATACTTCTTATGACTAACAGATTTAATTTTTGACAGTAGAAACTCTTGGATTTATCATGGGAAAGTGATAAGATAGGAAAAGACCCCAGCAGTCAACATCTTGGAGGATGTACTTTAGAGTTTTTAAAAGATTTTATGACTGTATTGAATTTTCCAAATTTGAAAGTGCATCCCACGAGTGTAGACTACTTTAAACTAAGGGAACGGGATGAGTAAATTTACTGCAAAATACATTTAACAAACTTTATTAAATACATTTGAGTTGAGAGAAGAATCTTCGTTTATTCCAGAAAATCATCATTGATTGAAATAATGAATGAAAATTAGTCTAGAAATAGACTACTGGAAAAGAAAAGATTTGGATAAACTCACCCACTGAGATATTATAGGTTATTTTTGTGTATTTGCTGTCCGGAATACAGGCGTCGGCAACAAAACAAAACGAACAGCTGCGTCACTGGTTTCCATACGATGATGCCTTCGATTTTGAGTGATACTGACAAAATATGTCAGGAGTTCTTCACACAGAGGGAAAAATCTCTATTGCTCTCTCTCTGTTAGATAAAAAAAAATTATTACATTTTTCATATTCATTGATTCACCTACTTTATTAAAACCTCATATCCTTGTCTAATTAGGTTTTTGTTATTTAAAAATTGTTCTATACATTCAGCTCATTAGTAGCTGTTTCACCTCCGTACTATGGTACATTTGAGAACTGTTTAATACATGCTAAACAATCAGATGCTTTCCATCGAGGTGTAATTAATTCTTCTCTACACATGTGGCAATAGGTAAATATTCAGTTAATATTGGCGATTAAGTGCCAATCGAAAAATTTTGTATATTTTTCTTTATCTGTATCGTTTACAATTTCATAACAAAATAAGCCTAATCGAACTTGCGTTTTTTCATCAAAATATATAAATAAAATGTATGGTAACATTTTCATGCAGGAGCATCCTAACAATAAACTGTAAGTCGCTGGATGATCTGCCGATTTTACACCGTCTATTGTTTGTTTTTGCAATAATTTTTTGGATTTTTTTTAGTAGGAATCATTTTGTTAAGAGAGGTTATGATGTTTCTTTATGTAATGAGTTGTTAATATTATATATTATCCCTGGAGCCCACTTCTAGTGATTCTCTCCTTTGGTTATTGAAGAAGATATTTCCTGAGCAGATCCATGTGGATTTGTTAGTTTTAAATTCTCCGTTCTCATCTATGACACGCCTTTGTGTATCAGGCTTCTTCCTTTTTTTACTTATGTCGATTAGAAGAGATCTTAACCTTATTTTTCCTTCTAGTCATATGATTTGAGAATAGAGAGTAAATTCCTGATTAATTAAGGAGACTTTTACTTTATGTTTATGTCCTCCTAATGCATTCTCCTCCTCCTTCACTTGTACAGTTCTTTCTCCTGCAATCGAGACATGTTTCTTTCCATGTATTCGCCAAAACTGCGAATCGTAGTTTCTGACCATTTAGTGTTGTACTAGAACACCTCATCGCGGAACCTTACAATGTCGGTTAAGTCCGCAAAATTATATTCTTCTAGGTTTATTTCCCGTACGTTCACCCACAATCGGCACAACTCGGGGATGTTTTACATAAAATATTCTTGATCGTAAAATGTCGGCAAAAGAGGGGAATATTATATTCTGGATTTGAATTAGAAGAATAATCAGAATTATTTAACAATTTACCAATTTTTAAATATCTAATTTTTTATTTTGAAAGTTATTTATAATTTTTTTCAAAATAAAAATTCGGTGTATGCACTTAAGACAAATTTAATTTAACAAAAAAATTTGTTAATTTGCGTCCTAGTTAAGAAATTTTGACTCTTTTTCTGTGTATTCTCTTATTAAAAAAATAAATTTGTTTCTGAGGAAGGGTATTGACAAAACGAAAACAAATACTAGACATGAGAGTCAGTCCCTCATATTTATTGTCACTCCAAGTTCGTACTGTAGTAATAAAATATAATTTATGCTTTACATACAATGTAACTTATATATACACATATTTTTTTATAAGTATTTAATAAAAATACGTGAATGTACTTGTTTTTTTTCCTTTATCTCCAACCTAAGTCCTCAAAAAAAAAAACTTCATCCCAATAAAATCAGTCGTATTTTTTTTTTTGCTGAAATTTTTATTTATTTTATATTTCATCATACTTAAAAAAAAATATAATAAATTTTTTTATACAATTTTTTTTCCATTACTATTATTTGTATACTATTCGATGGTAATATCGAAATTATTATATCAACATATTTTTTTGTATAATAAATCATTTATTCACAATTTTGAAAAACATTTGTTTCTTTTTCAATTATATTAAACAATGTTTATAATAAACTAATAATTTAGTTCTATGCATTATTATTTTTTTTGTAATATTGTAATTATTATAAATTGTATCACTTTTTAAAGTATAAATAATATTATGTACAATAGTAAAAAAAAAAACAAACAAGAATGTTGGATTTAGAGATTCGCTGCTCAATAATCGAAGAGCAGATAATGTGCAGGTCAGTCCATCGATCGAGATCATTTGAATTATTATTAACTACATATGCCTGCTGGATGGACCTAAACGCATTATTCTAATGTGTGTAGGAATAAATTGGAAGAAACATAAAAAAAAAAATTAAGGCTTTCTTGCCGCACTTAATCGTACTATATTTTTTTTCTATTTTTTTACACTAAATAAACGACGTTCAATGTCTAAAACTATTAAAATATACTATACAAAATTTTCAAATAATAAAATTTTTAATCAAAACTTTAAAAGATTGATAAACAGAATAAAAAAAATCAATTTTTTTTGCTTATATTATTGCAAATATAATTTTTCCATGAAATTTTACTTTTTGACAATGTAAGAACAAAGTTTTCTCCATTTTTAATATAATAAAAGAAAAAAGAAATTAAAAAACGTTACAAGTAGTAAAACCGACATTGATTTTTTCACTTAATCGGTTGTTGATAATCAAGATTTTTTCTTTATCAACAGTCGGTAAATTAATTGGTCGTCGATAATCAAGTTTTTTTCTCTATCAACTGTCGGTAAATTAATCGGTAATCAAGATTTCTTTATCGACTGTAGGTAAATTAATCAGTCGTCGATAATCAAGATTTCTTCTTTATCAACAGTAGGTAAAGTAGAAAAATTTAATATCTAAAATACTTTCTCATGTGTAAAAATGAATAATAGCCTATTGTTGCTAAATTCTAAAATACTAAAAAATTCTGATTTACAATCTTTTGAACAAAAACATTTTAACAAAGGTAAAAAATAAGTTTTTAATTGGTTTTTGGGGATCAGTGTTATTGTTAACTGAATCTACAGTTGATAATAAGGATTCCTTCTTTATCAGCAGTCGGTTATGTAAAAAACTAATATCGAATATACTTTCTCCTACTAAAACATCAATATTACCGAATTATTAACTTAATCGACAGTTGATAACGAATTTCTATTTTATCAACAGTCGGTAAAGTAGAAACTGCATTGTCCGATTTTATAAATTGATTGAATAAAACAACTGCAATTAAAGTAAAATAAGTAAAAAAAATTCTTCAGCAATTTTAGTGTTTAGTCGCAAAATCTTCATTGTCAAAGAATAAAATTTACTAACATAGAAAATATTAAAATAAAAATCTAATATTTCCATATCGACAGTTGATAGTGAATATTACTTCTTTATCAGCAGTCGATAAAACCAAGAAACTAAATAGTCAAATATAAATTCTTTCAAAGAAAATAACTACAAACTGAATTTTCAAAAAAAAAAAAAAATTCAAAAAACAATTGGCAAAAAATAAAATTTTTAACAAAAAAATCCGAAATAAAAAAGGGATTATCGTATTTTATGGTTTGTGGAGGATTTATACCAATAAAAAAAATGTAAAAAAATCACTAACTACTGTAACAAGTTTTTCGTACATCCGCAAGAATCACACTGAAATCATCATCAGATTTTGGGACATGTTCCATATTTTGAACTTGTTGTTGCTGTTGCTGCTGCTGCGGATGTTGTTGATGCTGATGATGAGCCTGTGGATGTTCTTGATACTTGGTGACATCAACGCCTTGATGATATGATTGTTCCATGTGAGTGATGTCAGAAACAGTTGAACATTGATTGTCTTTATTTGGTTCATCAATAATACACTGTGAACTCGATAAATCAAGATGTTGTGACTGTTGCGGTGAATAATAACGCAAATCACTCGCATAATTATGATTACTGTCGAGAAGATTTTGTGTTGTGAGACTTGAATGACCAACTGTTGATGGTTGTGTGTATTTGAAATATTTTTCCAATTGTAAACTTTGCTCCTCACCGTCGTCATGAAGATTCGATTCCATATGAGACATTGGGACTTGCTGTTGTTGTTGTTGGGCCGATCCACTCTCCTGATAATCTTGATGATGTTGAAGTTGATATCTGTGTGAAACGCCTGCTGTTTGACAAAAGAAAAAATAAATGTAACATCTGTTGGTAAAGAAGGGACAATTTTAACTACTAATAGTAAATGATATTTTTGTTTAATCAAGTATTAGTGCTATGCAGACAATCGATAATTTAATTAATTTAACATTTTTCGATGGATGATTACTTCTTTACCGACAATCGACAATTTAATTTATCGTTTAGTAAAAAATCACTATCTTACCGACAGTAGAATGAACAAACTAAAAATATCAGCAGTCGATAAAGTAGAAAATATTATTAACTACTGTGGATATTGTGGAAAATATTACAATGTAAGTTTTTAAATCTATCTTGTAATAAAAAGAAGATAATAATAATAATAATAATAATAATAATAATTTGTCGTTGACAAAAAAAAGTTAGTTGCTATATTTTAATACTATAATGTTCGGTTTCTAAAACTTTACAAATAAACTTTGTCTTCTGTCGATAAAGAGAAAACAATATTTTTCTTTGTTCGATAAAGACGATTTTACTGTTATCGACTGTCGGTTAAAAAGAGAATGACGTTGCATTTTAAAAATCACTTTTATCAATTTTATCGTATGTCGATAAAGACAAAAACAATTTGTATTCGTTAGGAATAAATTTTTTTCATCTGTTGATGATTCCGACTTTACCGATTGTCGATAAAGAAGAAAATGACTATATGCATTTTACAAATAAATTTTATCGTCTGTCGATAAAAAGAAAACAATTTGATGTCTTTTGTCGATAAAAACAATTTTACTGTTATCGATTGTTTTTATTAATTTTATCATATGTCGATAAATATGACTTTACTGTTACCGATTGTCGATAAAGAAGAAAATGACTATGTAATTTAAATAAATTTTATCGTATGTCGATAAAGAGAAAAACAATTTGTACTCGTTAGGTATAAATTTTATTCGGTCGATAAGAAAGACTGAATTGTGTTATCGACTGTCGGTAAAAAAAAAATTGATTATATAGATTTTAAAAATAAATTTTATTGTCTGTTGCTATAGAAAAAACTACATTGTACTTGTGCGGTATAATTGATATGTTACCTTTGGTCGATAAAAACGATTTTACTGTTATCGATTGTCGATAAAGAAGAAAACGACGATATGCAATATAAAAATAAATTTTATCGTCTATCTATAAATAAAATCAATCTGGCTATATATTTTTTTTCTTCAATTGATAAAAACGATTTTACTGTTATCCTATGTCGGTAAAGAAGAAAATGACTATATATCCAATTTAAAAATCAATTTTATCATCTGTAAATGAGGAAAAACAATTTCTACTCGATACATATTTTTTTTTTGCTCGATAAAGACAATTTTACTGTTATCGATTGTCGGTAAAAAAGAAAATGACTAAATGCATTTTAAAATCAATTTTTATTATTTATCGATAAAGAGAAAACAATTTTGTTATCTTTTGTCGATAAAGACGATTTTACTGTTATCGATTGTCGGTAAAGAAGAAAATGCCATTAAAAAAAATTTCACTTGTTAATAAATAAATAAAATTAAATATAATTAATAATAAAAAAATTACTAATTTAATAAAAAGAAAAAATGTATATTTACCAGAACATCCCTCATTGACACGAAGACTTAAATTTGGTGGCCTGTTACACTGAATTGTATTGTAACCGCTATCAACTCCAGATTGCATCGAATAATTGGATTTTGATGGTGGAGCGTTACTATAGTGAAGAGACTGATCGTGGGGTGAAGCAACGGGCGGATAAAAAGTCCCCGTGACCGATCCAACATTTTCAAATCCCGATCTCAATTTGTTGCAGGAGACCATCATCCCATTTGCAATTCCCACGGCTGCTATGCTTGAACTTTGCCTCTCGAAATTTAAATAACTCACCTGTGAATATATATATATTTTTTTCTTATTAAAATATAACGTTTACAATTTTTTTTTTAATACTCTGCATTGGAAATATTTAATTATAATTTTTTTTATTTACTGTAAGTAATAATTTTTTTTTCTAATCATTTAAGTTAGTTTAAAATTTAATTTCTATGTAATATTTTGGATATTTTTAATTAAGTTAATAAAAACGTTAATTTTTTTAAGAAACAAATTTTTTTGGGGAAATTAATTTTTATTTTAATTAAATTGTTTAAAGAAATAAAACCTTTTTATATGTCAGTGTATCTGTGTAGCTTCCAGCACTGGGACAAGATGATATGCTTACTCCACTGTGTGAGGGATGCATTTGACTCTCATTCATAAATGAATAACGTTTCGTTTGTTCGGCAATTTCACTGTGTTGCTTCGACGTACCTTCCATCATATCACGATCCTGATCCTGATTTTGAGACGTTGAAATATGTCCATCTCCTGACATGATTAAGAGATTTTTCTTTTAATTTTCAATGGTGTTTTTACAAATTGGTAACTAATTTTATTTTTAACTTTTATTCAAGTTTAAAAAATTGAAATATAAATCCTAAAACTGAGTTTTGAAAATTAAGTTTACATTCAAAGTATAAATTAATTGATTTTTAAAAAAATTTAGCTCGATACTGAAAACGCCATTTTGAATTTTGAAAATATGATCTTATATTTTTAATCAGCGACCCCAAAAACCCCCGAGTAATGAAATTTAGGAGATTTTGAACGTTTTTTAAAAATACGTTCTCAATTTTGTATCCGCCATTTTGGATTTTCAAAAACCAACTTCAGATTCGTAATTAGCGACCCCAAAAACCCCCGAGTAACGAATTTTAAGCGATTTCGTACGATTCTTAAAAAATTGTCCTCCATATTGGATCCGCCATTTTGATTTTCAAAAACCAACTTCAGATTCGTAATTAGCGACCCCAAAAACCCCCGAGTAACGAATTTTAAGCGATTTCGTACGATTCTTAAAAAATTGTCCTCCATATTGGATCCGCCATTTTGTATTTTCAAAAACCAACTTCAGATTCGTAATCAGCGACCCCGAAAACCCCCGAGTAACGAATTTTAAGCGATTTCGTACGATTCTTAAAAAATTGTCCACCATATTGGATCCGCCATTTTGGATTTTCAAAAACCAACTTCAGATTCGTAATTAGCGACCCCAAAAACCCTTGAGTAACGAATTTTAAGCGATTTCGTACGATTCTTAAAAAATTCTCCATATTGGATCCACCATTTTGGATTTTCAAAAACCAACTTCAAATTCGTAATTAGCGACCCCAAAAACCCTTGAGTAACGAATTTTAAGCGATTTCGTACGATTCTTAAAAAATTCTCCTCCATATTGGATCCACCATTTTGGATTTTCAAAAACCAACTTCAAATTCGTAATTAGCGACCCCGAAAACCCCCGAGTAACGAATTTTAAGCGATTTCGTACGATTCTTAGAAAATTTTTCTCCATATTGGATCCGCCATTTTGGATTTTCAAAAATTAAGAGTCGATTATAAATCACTAAGCATAAAAATTTCCGAGTATAAAGTTTCAAGTGAATTTGAGGATTTTTTTCCAAATTTCTAAAGTCTTCGTTATAGTTTCTTTTAAAAATTGACTTCCGTAGCCATTTTGAATCAGCCATTTTAAATTTCATAAAATCTTACGCTATATATAAATGCAAAAAATATTTAAAATTACCATCAGGCTCAGGACTTGCAACAGGAGTGATATCCGGTGTGTGAATAATCGGCGTGTAAGGACTTCCATAAATGGAATTATTCTCAGATTTAAATTCAGATAAACTCTGTTGCTGTTGTGGATGATAGAGGGAAGAAATCGGTGAATGTCCACCCCAAGCCATTTGGGACATTCCTTGATAACTTTCCATTTTTGACCTTTTGCAGAAAAAAAAAGAAAATCAGTTACATTACAATTTTCATATTAGTTTTTTCGCAAAGAAAAAAAACATTTTCCTTGCCTACTGTCGATAAAGAAGTTAGTTACATTTTTAAAAGTGTATAATTTTGACAAAGATTGTATTTAATTTTTTTTAAATTATTTCCTGGTGAAATATTTTATTACCGACAGTCGATAAGAAAAATAAATTTTTTACCCTATGTCGGTAATGAAGAAATTTATCAAAAATGCAACAATTTAGAATAAGTGAATGGAAAATAAATAAAAACTATCAGTCGGTTTGAAAAATAATCTTTTTACCCTATGTCGGTAATGAAGATATCAAAAATGTAACAATTTAAAAAAAGGAAAAAGAAAATAAATAAAAACCAACAGTCGGTAAGAAAAATAATCTTCTTACCCCATGTTGGTAATGAAGAAATTTATCAAAAGTGCAACAATTTAAAAAAAGGAAAAAGAAAATAAATAAAAATCAACAGACGGTAAGAAAAATAATCTTTTTACCCTATGTCGGTAATGAAGAAATTTAGCAGAAATGCAAATTTTTTTTTAAATATTCAGAAAATAAAAAAAATTTTAATGAAAATCAGAATAAATTTAGTCATCGTGATAGTAGAAAAAGGAAGGGAGGAAAAATGGGAAAGGGAGTTTTCGAAGGAGAAACTGAATAGACAATGCGAAATTTAGAGGACACCGTCTAAAAAAAAAAACAAAATACTAGTTGCGATTTACTTTTGGCAGTTGTTTATAGCCTCATGAATAATTCATTAGATGTTTCAAGGAGAGGGATTCTCAGCGGACTTTTAACTTACATGGAATGATGAATGGCGGCGGTGTTAGGATTGCTCCTACTGCCAGGGGCGTTTGTCGCCGACGGAGGTGAAGAGGGGGCACCAGGGGCCCTTTTTGCGTGTTTCCTCCGACGCGGTCTGTACTTGTAGTTTGGATGCTCCTGCATGTGAATCACCCTCAACCTCTCAGCCTCCTCCACATAGGGCCTTCTGTCTTGTGGCGTCAGTCCTCGCCATTTCTTTCCTGAAGGTAGAGAAAAATAAATTTTTTTTTTTTTTTTTTTTGAACAATGCTAACAAATTATTTTATACTGTTTACAAAAAAAACAATTTTTTAATAATTTTCTTTTTTTATTGTTACTAAAAAAAATTTTAATTTAAAAATAATTTAGAACATTTTTTCATTAATGGAAAGTAATTAAATTTTTTATTTCTACCGTGAATTTTTATTTTGCACTAAATTATTTATTTTTGACGGAAAAATACGTTGCTTACCGTGATGAAAAATCCAATTGGAAAGAATGCAGAAGAAGGAAAAAAAAAATATTATGAGAATAAATGTAGAAATTTTTTATGTAAATTTCTAAATTGTTTAGAAATTAATATAGAGTAAAATTTAAGGTTATGTAACATTCACCTAACCTCACTTATCTCAAATATAATTTTAATTATAGGCCTAAGCAGAATGAAATCTCTAATCGTAAATTTTAAGCTTTTACATGAGAGAGAAAAGGAAAGAAATATCTTCTGTCCTTTTCTCTCTCATGTAAAAGGTTTACGATTGTCCCTTTCTGATTTAATGTTAAATTTGAGGTTATGTTTACATATTGCACATTCATTAAACCGTATTTACAATATCTGATCTTTCTTTTTATGTAATGTTCAATATTGAATAAATATTTCAGATAAATTCAGAAATTAATGTAAATGTAGTTAAATACGTAAAGCTGCATCCACAATACCTAATCGCATCCTTTTTGGAAGAAGATGCGCGCGCATCCATTGCCAACTGTTGAAAAAATTTATATTACATGTTTCACTATTCCTACTATTTCAGCTATTGTGTAAAAATTATTCGAATAATAAAAGAAAATCGTTTTGTTAAAGAAAATAAAAATTTTATATCCCAGGTAACATTTTTTTTCAATTTTTTTAGTAAATCGGAAATAAATTTTTTTGTCGAGACAGTTGGTAATGGATGCGCGCGCATCGTCTCTTCGTAAAAAATGGTTTTTAAAACAATGCGATATTATTTGATTGGAAAAAAAAATTAGGACAAAAATATTTTTTTAAATCAAAGAAATAATTTTATCAAAACAAAAGCAAGTACTTTTATACTTGTATATTTATAATATATATACTCTATATATAAATTATAAGTGTGCGTGTGTTTTAATAATGTATGGAGTGTAATTATTTTGTTGAGATATAAAATACGAGTTTACGCTCTACTTTTAATGCAGTCGTATCTCACCGATCACTTAAGAAAATTGGTAAATGGCAATTAAGGGTAAAGGGTATGATTAAATTATACATAAATATCTGCCTCGAGCAGATGCTTTTTGCGTTTTAGTTCGCATAAATAATCGTGATTTATGTGAGAAATATCAAGGTTTCTTAGAAACTTTGATAGAAAGAAACACACATATATATATATATATATATTAAAAGAATCGTAACCTTAACATAACCTCAAACTAAAAAAATGTTTTTAACAACAATCGTAATTTTTTCAATGTTGTTAAAAAATATTTTGTTGAATAATTATTAACAATAAAAGCTGTTTTTATTAAATAATTTTATATATATATTTATTTTTAAAAATTGTGATTTTTGTCTGAGCTGAAAAAAAGTCAAAATGTTGAAAAAAAATCATAGAGATTTCGACTTAGTATCATTTTTTCTAAAATATTTGTATAACTTCCAAAAAATTGTTTGAAATTAATTATTTTTTATTTTTGTTTGCGTTAAAAATTATTTTTTATTTTGAGGTCAGTATCAATATCAGTATTAAAAATTTCTGTTTATTTTAAGTTTATGCGGGCGCCATCTATGAGTAGAGTCGCTCAATATTAATTTTGTAAAGAAATATGGGATTTCCCCCTTCATATATTTTTTGTTCCGGTTGGTTTCCTTTGTCACGATTTGCCAAAATCCCCTCTTGCCATTTGTCATAATTCTCATCAACTACCGCACCCTGCTCTAGTGAAAATTTAGTAACATAAAGGCCTGAGCAGAATAGAAACGTAACCGGAATCGTAATCGCAAACGCAACCGGAAGAATGAGTTAGAGAAGGATAGACATATTATTTGTCCTTCTCTAACTCATTCTTCCGGTTACGTTTCTATTCTGCTTAGGCCTTTATTATTAAAATTAAAAATTACTGCAAAGTCACTAAATTTTCACTAGAGCAGGGTGCGGTAGTTAGTAGTGAATTATGACAAATGGCGAGGGGAAATTTTAACGAGTGGGGACAATGGAAACCAAACTTCCGTGTTCCGTTTTCAACAATATTTATACCGTTACTAATTTTTTATTTCTAATAATTTTGTTAACAAATTGTTTTTTCGAAACTTATTCAATTTTCTTTTATATTTTTTTCAAACCCAAATATTATTTAACAAATCCTTTTATTTTGTGCAAAAGCCAATTTTTAGTTTGAGGTTATGTCAAAAGGGATAAGATTTTTTAAGAGAATGAAGTCAAACGCATTTAATAATTTTTTCAGTTCAAATGCTTTTTATTAAAAAAAATATATATATAATACCCTGAAGCTACAATGTAAATTTCCTTGTATTTAATTTTATTTAAAAAATAAAAGATTAAAATGGCCCACAATTATGATGTGTTGAAAAAAAGTGAGATATCATCTCTTGCGCAGGAAAGGGTCGAAATTAATGAAGTTGTCTGCGGGTATCAGGAAATAAGGAAGGAAGGGTAGGGAGGGGGAGAAACATTAAAAGAGAAAGAGGGTGGGGGGAGATCAAAAGAGAATGGGATATATACGAAGACCCATACAAAAAGGGGAGAAATGAACAAGAAAAGTGGGGGTAAAATTAAGCAAGGAACACGGATCCATTAGAATACTTAACGAGGACATCGTATATACACATGTGTAATGTGTATATACTGTGGGACGAGGTTTGTTCCTAAAGTGCGCGGGTGTGATGATGAATCACTGCGGGAGAGATTGCTTGAGACTCACAGGCAAAGAAATATTAAATTTAAATTCACTCATTGTTGGCCCGAAAAATCTTTCGTGTCACTTTTGCGTGACTTGTTAAAAAAATGGACGGTGAAATTTTTTTTTTAATAATATATATAAAACAATATATTTTTTATTTTATTTTTGCGTTTTATTTATACTTTTTTTTTATAAAAAGAAATAAATTTTTCACTCTACATGTTGTATTTTAGGCTGTGTTTACATGACAGCGTTCGAACCAGGGTTGGGTAGTTAAGCGATGGTTCTTTTACCTACCCATCTCTGATTCAAGGCATCGTTTATGTTGAACAATGAGTGTAACAAGGATAAAAGCACATGTCTGTCCTTCTGTCTCTCATTTGCTTAACGATGATAAAAAAAATTTAACCTAAAAATTCTTTTCGAATTTAAAAAAAGGTTACCAAAAATGTATTTTTTTAGGCTATTAAAGATTTGTAAAAATAATTGAAACAATTCATACTTCGAAGATGAAGAAATCAGCTCTAATTTATAGTCGTGAATGTGAACTGACAGGTGCATCCAATAATTTTCCCTTTATGCGCGAGCAAACCCTACGGGGATAAAATGGATGATTTACTGAAAGCAAGTTAGGACCAAACAAAAGCCGGTCATTGTTGCGAGAATTATTATCATTATTATTATTGCCTTTCAGGCAATGCTTCCTTAAGTTCCTCTTTCAATGACTTGGAGGTTAGTTGGCAATATTTTTTTTTTATTTTTTGCTTTATTGTTACTCTTCGAATTGAAACAATCGATTTCTGCTAATTAATTATTACAGTCGATGGTAACAATTAAAGCAACACACACATGACGCCCTTTCAATTTATTATATCTGCCTTTTCATTATATTAAATCAGATGTCTCTCTCAAATTATATTTGACTGTATTTTATCTGTATACTCTTTCATTCAGAGGCAGAAATTTTTTTTAATATTGAAAATTAAATTACCAATCGAAATTATTTTTGCCAAAAAGAGCAAGAAGTGTATTAAAAAATTAATAATATTTACTATACGAATGATAGTAGAAATTTGAGAACCAAATTTAGGTTATGTTTCGTGGTAAAAAAAAGCAGTAGCGCCACGGGGATAAAACGAACGATTAATGGGAAGCATTTTGAGTGACGTCACTGCCACTCAAAACGGTTGGAGTTGTGAAGCTACTATTTTCTAAATTCTAATGGTCACTTTATGACTCCAGCAGTACTTGACAACATCAGGACATTTTGTGGGTGTTTTCGACGTTGACACTCTGAGCGCTCTGAGAGCTCGAAAAGGTTCTCAACCACATTTTATTATTTTAGTGTATTTAACCTAATTTAACCTAACCTAATCCAATGCAATCTTCTCATTACGCTTTCAAGACCGGTGAAGACCACGCTTTTGCATCATGGAGGAAAGAATAATTTTAAATGATTTAGTTTTAAAGAACAATAAAACATTATTCAAGAATAATGGTCGCATTTCATGCGACGTAACGAACGTTGATACGAGTAAGTATTAATTTTAATGTAATATTTATATTTTTTATTTATTTATTTTATTTATTTTATTTATTTTTTTTTTTTCTATTTGTATGATTTTTTTAAATATTCTTTTTTAAAATCCAAATTTAACGGCAGATTTACAATAAGCGATTTAGAAAACTCTCGGGCAGAGTTTTCATCGAATCTGAACCATGTGAAAAAAATTCCGCCATACTGGATCCGCCATTTTGAATTTTACCAAAATTCACGCTATTCAGAGATGCGAATTTATTTTCCCCTATTATTATTTGAAGATTAAAATTTTTATATTTTATTAAAAATACAGAAATTTTGCAACAACAAAAATTATTTGAATCCTACAAGATTTTACTATTATATAATTTTCATTAAATTTAAAAATCAACAATAATAATTGATTGTGGTCTGAAAATTCTTATCTTGTCCGCCGCGGACATTGTTTGAAAGCAGAGATTTCGATTCGTATATATATATATATATAAAATGTGTGCGAGAAAAGACGGTGAAAGTAAG